AACAATTACAAATAAAAAACTGTAAAAACACACAAAATAGGAGGGGATAAAATTAATAAGGGAGCCATCACAAAATCTCCCCAGTCCCCCGGGAACCCCAGGCCTGATCACATAGCCAGGTCTTGAGGGACTTGCAGAGTGTTGAGAGGGATGGAGCTAATCTCACTTCTGGGAGGAGAAGACTCCGCAAGGCGGGCGCCATGGCAGAGAAAGCCCACCTCCTGGGAAGGCCTGCCATATGCAATTCTCTGGGAGTTGGGACCCACAGCATGCCTTCTCTGCCAGACCTGATGGGACGGGCAGATGTAATCGGGGAGAGCCGGTCTCTCAGGTAACCCAGCCCCATGCCATGAAGGCCTTTAAAGATCAAAATCAGCACCTTGAATTGGAGCCAGAAGCAAACGGGGACCCAGTGCAGCTCGCGGAGCAGAGGTTAACATATACCACCCTAGGGGCACACATAACTGCCTGTGCCACTGTATTTTGCACCAGCTAACGCTTCCGGACAGCCTTCAAGGGCAGCCCCATGTAGAGTGCATTACAGAAATCCAAACGAGAGGTGACCAGGGCATGAGTGGCAGTGATTATTTATTGTGATTTGGCAGGTGTTTGTCGATACATTCCCATTTTTGCATTTATAGATACGCTGCACAAGAGAGAGGGAGCTTTGAGCCCTGCCCAGGCTCACATTCTGAGTTTTGAATTAGTGGATCACAACCTGGACAGGTTTGCTATATTTGGATAGGCCTATTTAAAAGGAAATCTACAGGATTCCTCGACATCAGAGCCACAATCAAGAAGTCTCTGCAATGCTATCCCAACAGATGATATAAATATAATTACACATGTGTTTAGTCACTCCTTTCTTTCACTTTAAAAATTATATTTCAGTGTCAATATTTAGATGGCCTCTAGGAGAGGTCTTAGGACCAGAAATTAGGTACATCTGATTTAAGTCTACCATCTTGGCTCTCAGAGTATCCAACCAGATATCTCTAAGAACCCAACAGCTAGGTCTACTAGGTGGAATCCCATGCTTCCATAGCAGTTTGTCTTCAGTTGTAGATGACTTCTGAATAGAGAGGCTCCATCTTCTGATCAGGACAGGCCTACTAGGAATTGAGAGAGAGGTTCTACCTGAGTGGGCTACTCCTTGTTTACCAGCAGCTGCCAACAGCCTGATGTAATTTCAAGTGTTTCGTCATTTTCGGGTGAAGAAGCCAATATGGTTTTGAAAACTTAAAGAATCTTTTCTTTCTTTTGTTCTTTCCTTTTTTTTAATTTTCCTCCTCTTCACCTTTTCCAGGCCGTTAATGTACCACAGATGACTAACACAGGTATGTGTTGGCAAGCAAGCTAGTAAGGATCCTTACAAATAATAACATCTGGGGACTTATTTACAAGGCTGAGTTTAACAGTTACTAAATAGTTATTAAACATTTATATACTGTTTCAGTGTTCTCAGACACTGCTTGTGTTCACCTGGTTAGATTATGGCAAGATCTGCACCGAGATCTTCCTAAGTCATTTGTCTGTTCCAGAGCTCACTTTGCATAAGGTTTTGTTTCTGTTTGTAATACACCATAATCTATTAATCTATTATTCAACGTATTAAGAAACATAAGGGGAGTGTCTACTTTGGAAAAGAATATCAAATTCTCCATTTATTTATTGAATGGCATTCTATAGATTCCTGAGAAGCTTAAAAATATCTTCCAGTACAACGTAACAATTGCATTCATTTATTTGGTGGTGGCCCTCCTTTGTTTTTAAAAAGCATCTATTTCTACAATGCCTTATAAGCAATATACTGGTACAAATTTAAGCTATCACCTGTTTCTCACACACACACACACACACACACACGCAACTTGCTACTGCATTAAATGGTCCAAGGTGACACTGAGGTTGTTTTCTTAGGCAAGGGAAAAGATTAATTAAATAAGTAATATTGCTCAAAAGACAGCAATTTTCAAACCAGGATTAAAATGCACAAGTTACCCTGTACAAAAAAGAAGCCTCAGCAAAGAAAACATTCTAGCTGTGAATGGTGATCATCTGAAGGCTGAGTTTCTAATCCCTTTCTCACCATGCAAATGTAGCTGTGCTTGGCCTCTGCATGGTCAAGGAAGCTCCAGGCACTGCTCTCTTTCTAGGAATCCAGTAGCAGAATTCCTAACCTTGGGAGCTTGCTAGCAAGTCATATAAGGTTAAAAGAATGCAGAACTTCCCATTAATGCACCCAGATTGGGTTTAGCATTAACGCAAGTATTTAAAGTTATTGATGGTAACAGTAGCATAGCAACATGTTCCTGAAATCATCTTGCAAGATAGCATCAAGGGCTGGATTCTCCCCTCCCCTCCCTTTCATCATAGTTTTCCCAGCCTTTGGGCTGGGGGTGGGAGTTGCAAACAATCTAGTAACAGTACTCTGGCATAATGATGAAAAAAAATGCTGATACTTACTTGACAACAGAAAAAGAAAGACTTACTGAAGCCTCATGGGGTGTGAAGTATTTATATCTTAAAGGGAAAAACTACCCAAATGAGACCTAATTATTAACAAAACCTATTTTCTTCCAAAGGCAAACAAAACACTGTATTTCTAGCTTGGGCAAGGCGCGCTCGGACAGGGGAGTAAATTTATGAATGCTCTTTTTATAGGCGAGTATAAATGTTACATGAAAAGGTCAAGAAAGTAATCAGAATTTTTATCTTCTCTAAATCTCCCTTAAATCTCTGGAAGGATCCACATTCTCCAGATACTTTATGGATTACATCATCTTGCTTTTTCTGGCACAAAACTCAAAAACAAGAGCTTGTCCTGTTTTGAAGGACCAAAAGAAATTGCTGACTTAAGGTCACCTAAGCTGCAACCCCACTGGATATATATAAGGGTGTCAATTCTGCTGAATTCAAATGAGATTTACTTTTGAGTAGACTCAGGTATGCTCCACTATCAGTGCAGTTCATGCTTTGTGAGAACCTGAACCCTGATCTACCCAGTCTGGACATGCCCACCTTAACTCAACAAACAATGGAGTTCAATGGAAGCACTGGCATTATTATTATTAGAGTTAGATCGAAACTCCTATCAGTTATTAAAATGCTTTCTCTTCTTGCATCCTTCTCCTCTTCCTTCCCCTGTTTTTCCCCTTTAAAAGGACTCCTGGCATCTCCAGTTTATTGTACAGTCAGAGGAAGTCAAATACGCAACTTTCAGCAACAGCTATTGCATTAAAAATCATCCTCCCTTTAAGCCCACACAAACAGCCAGAGCCAGCTCTATTAAGTTTCTTCAACCACATGCCTGAATTGTATTACACCTCCGCGCAGACCGAAACACGGGGCTGGGAGGGAGGGGTGGGGAGAGAGAGACAGGGAGAAATCAATCGGTCGATAAATCAAACATGACGGCTGCGGGGGGGGGGGCAGAGGAAGGTTTCGAGACTAGGGTACAATTGTCAATAGGATGCGCCGATGTTATCCTACACACTCAGGACCCCTGGATGCAGGAGAAACACCCAGACCCGCACCCCACCCATCACGACCCGCTGCCTCCTCTTTGACCCAGCAGCAAGGAGCCAAGGTGGGGTGAGAAGCCCAAGAACAGCCCCTAAGCCTTGTCAGAGACGCGGCGGTGCCTGCGGGACATTCAATCTCTCCATCGTTCTTCTCCCCCCCCCCCCCATGAATTTACAAGTACAGTAATACAGTTCAAAGCTGGGGACCCAAATGGACCCTCCCGGGTCAAAAGGCAAACGATCCAGGGGTGAAGTAATCATCCTCCGGGGGGAGGGGGATATCGGGGTTCGCGAACCCGTAGAAAGTCAGGAAAGAGGAGAGAAGGGAAGATGCGAGGGGCTTCTCCACTAAATGTTGGGAAAACGAAAGAAAAAGAGAGGCAAAACCAGCCCGGAACGACATCGACCGAAGCTTGAAGGGTCGGGGCCGGAGCTAGGATGAAACCGACCCACGAGGAGCCCGGCGGTGGCGGCAGCGGCGGCGGCGGCGCCCGGGCGCGCTTCCCCCCTCGGCGCCCGGGAGACCGATGCGAGCGACTCACTCACCGGGGGACGGGAAGAGGTCCACCTCCACCTTCTCGGCTTTGATGATCGTCAAGGTGGGCTTCGGGTCGCCCGCCGCCTTCATGGTGAACGGCCGCAGGAGGTGCCCGGAGGGGATCTGAAAGCCGGGAAGGGGAAGGGGC